GTAGAAAAACTATCAATAGGCCTCATTACGTGACGCCATCATTTTTGACAAATTTGAGGCTGCTAAAGTAATTGGATGTGGAACGCGCAGGGATAAATTTAATTGGCAACGTGCGTGCCCATTACGCCAATTCTGTGTGTTCAAAATAAGATTGGTGCAGGACCCCTACATTCGTCAATGTGCGTAAACATCATGCATCATGCACTAATGTAGCCTGCAGACCAGCACCACATCGTTTTTGTGTTTGAAATAGTGCAAATTATAATGGAAGCATTTCCGCAGTCAAATAATATTCTGTGCTGTTATTCCAAAGGGACTGTATTCTAGTTGGTTTTGCAAAGCAAGTCTATGCACGTTGTAATATGGCAGTACTTTCACACAGTTCGAAGCATGGCAGTTACAGATGGCAGTGGACGAGTTGACTTCTATTAGGGTGGTTTCTCACACACGAAACAGCACTTAAGAGATGTCTTTAAATCCTTCCAGAGCGTAATTATCTGGCTCGAGTTCCTCCTTGGCATGGAGTGGTGATGCTAATGGAGTACACATAGGAATGCTCATCATGGCATAGTCCCTGGGTAAGAACTGAAGCAAAGTCTGGAGCTCAGCAGAATAGTTTTGCTGATGCATATAGTAGGCAGCAACCAATCCATTACACAGCATAACATTTCTCAGTCTATTTTACAATCAAAGCTGACTTAACAACACCTATTCAAAAAATGGAGGAAAGTTGCAAGTAAATAGAAACATGAATTAACGTATTATCATTCTGCATACAAAAACTACTATCAGGCAGTATTACAAACAATATTACAGCAAGCTTTACTCCTTGTCCAGTGCTCTGATCTCGGCGAAGGAACAGCCTGCGAGACTTTCAGTCCCACAATTCACATTTTTTACTGCGATTTATTTATTTGAAGTTCAAAGTGATTTTACCCAGAGCCCTCGGTGAATTCTGTGTATGTATAAGCTTGGTAAATATGTTTTCATAGATTAATCCTATCACCGCCAATAATCAAATCATGCCGAATGCTCTCTATATATATATTTTTTTAGATTTTCGAAAGTTAAGCGGGATTTGCCTGGATCGTCCGTGGATGGGTGACCACTGTGCATAACACAGGTGTTTGCAGAGTCCACATGGGTTACATGGTGGGCAGCAAAGGGCCATGCAGCAAACTCCGCTGTTGTGCAGTCTGATAATCTCAAGTCTATACTTCATACCTTCACTAAGCTACATTGATTAGCGTGGTGAATTAAGGTCAAATAAACCTCCACGATGCTCATAGTGGAGGAGCCCTCATCCAAAAAAAGGGCTGCACATGACCCATCCTATCACTAAATGGTCAAATCTCAGTGCATCGCGTTCTCTGGTTTGAGTGTGTGCGTATGTGTGTGTATACTGGATAGGGGAGCGGTAGTGTAGCGGTTAGCGCGCTGCGCTACGAACCTGGCAACGCGGGTTCGATTCCTGCTCACAGCCAACAAAAGTGACGATTATCTGAACCGGTTCTGGGCTTTCCCTAGGTCGACTCAGCCTCAAATGAGTACCTGGTGCGATATGTCAACATCGCTACTAGGGAGACAAAGGCGGCCGGGCATGGTGCTGGCCACCCACCCCCTCGTGTACCGTGCTGGCCTTTATAGGTGCTTGCTAACAGCACATGCCCCAAAAATCTGTTAAGGCTATACGGGGGATCTTTGTCCTTGTTATACTGGATATAGTATATATTCAAATTAATTTAAATACATAGACCTTGCAAAGGAATGTTTTATTAGCAGAGCATTAGCAGCAAAGAGACAAAAATGACAAGGCCCATAAATGTCCAGCTATTTCCACTTTATTCATTACAACAGCCAAAAGGGAAAATTAGATGTTCAAAGATCAGCATTTTTTATTATTAATAGTGCTGTGCAATGAAATCCACATTGCCAGGCACTTATCCCGGACGCCTCCAAAAGTGATTAATTTATAAAGAAAAGAAAATAAAAGACCTCGTGTCCAAAGTGCTATCTGAAAGGCATTCAAGACATGTGCTGCCGTGAAGATGTTTTTCTTGACCCAGAATAAAACAATGTGGGTGGTCAGTATTCCGCTCAGAAACCATATCGACTGTCCTCATTTATATCATGTTTGCGTTTAAAAAATACCTGCAATCGGCATGAAATGCATTTCAGGTTTGAATGTGCAGCAATACGGGACTGTGCCGTACATAATTTCTGACAGCCTCACACGATTTGACATATGTTTTTGCCGCGCAGACACTAGTAGTCATGCTGTGCAGTGGGCGTCGATGTAGAGTGCAGCAGGCGACAACAGCTGCACCCGAGGTCCATGGCAAATGGGTGACCCAGGTTCCGGGCTACCACGTTGGGAAATTGCACAGACAGTGGTGGGAACCCCACTTCATTCCCTGCACCACGGCCCACGTCAATCACGCCACACCACCGCACATCGTGGTTACAATATCCGTGAAGGAATTAAGCAGGGCCGTTCAGAAAAAGAATTTGTTTATTATTGATGGCGGTATAGCGTTAAAAAAGGAACACTTCCAACCATGCTTTGCGCAAAGTAAGTTTGTAAGATGAGTCCTGAGCAGTGTTAGCATTACTAATTAAAAAGATTGTGAAATTACATTACAGCCAATCAAAAGTTTATGTAGCTAATCCAATGACTTGAAATAAATTATTTTAAGAACAATGGCAAGCGACCAACACTGTCTAGCTGATAGCGTTGTAATGTTTTACATAAGCAAGAAAGATGTATTTTTGTTGGATACTAAAATTATCCTTCCCAGCCCTCGCAAGCACAGCAGGCAGTGTGTGTTTGTCAAGGCAACATATGTGGAGACACTCACCAAGTGCACTATAGCCAATTAAAGTCATATACACCACCTTTTCTTTGTTATTTTAGAAATTGTATTACTAAGGGGCATTAACGCGGCAGAATCCTCCACCTAAATTGATTTGAAGGCCCCCAAATCAATTCCAGTAGGGCCTTGGCTTAAATGTGCCTTTAAGTGAAGAATAATATGACATATGGCTTAGCCTCCCTAATGTAAAGCTGTTCTTGTTTTCAATAGCCAAGACATGGGTATGAAATATATTCCTCATGTCTTCCCATTATACAAATGTAAATAAGTATATATCTCTCAGGCGAATAATGTAAACACGATATTAAACGTCTTTTGTATTATATACATAGCTACTGCACATGCAAATTAACGGAATGGCCAGCATCACATGGAGCAACAATGGTATGTAAATATAAAACTGCGTCAACACATAGGTGGTAGGTAAAGATGCAGGCCTGCATTTTCTTGTTCACGCCACTGCTGGCGGACGGGCCTACGCTCCTGAGAGGGCTATAGAGAACCCTTAGAGAGCCCGCTCTGGAGTGTAATTTGGCCCTAATCTTCCACTCTGACCAAACATCTTGGAAGAGGTGGACGTACCCACACTTTACCCCACCAAATGCGACCTGCGATTGACTAATTTTGTAAAATAACTGGATGGGCAGAGACAGAGGGATTTTAGGAAACTTGTATCATTGTTTAAACTGCCACACCAGGCAGAATGAACCAGTGACATCTGGATTGCAAGTCCAGTGTGCTAACCATTATGCCATGGCATAATTCCAGAGCTATTTAGTATCTAGACAAAAAAAAACTACGGCAATACAAATGAGGCACCATTAAATATGGTTGACTTGTGCTTACAAGGCAAGTATTTAATATTTTTTTATTCCGTCAAATGATTCATTATAACGTATTAGAGTTCTCTAGCAGATACAAATTTAACAGTAATTAAGATAATGCTGGCTTTTATGCATTAAACTCACCAGAAGCAGTACTAATTTGTGGCTTCATGAGGGCCTGCACTCACAGATATGTGTTGAAGCGCTATTTATTGAGGGCTCTTAATTATTTTTTTCTTTGTAGGTTCCATTCATTAAAAAAATTCCCCAAAATTTCACCCCCGACAATCTATTAATTTTAGTTTCTGATTGTAAGCCTGAAGTCAGAAAAAAGAGCATTATGTTCACGTATACCATTGTTTTTAGTTTAGTTTAGATTTACAGGAGAGAGTTTATATTTTAAAAACGACATTTGTTTTTCTTCTCTGCATGAGGTATAGCAGTAAGTGGTGTGTGCATTGCGTTATGAATGCCATAAACCTAAACGTTTGATTCCCAGCGGCAAGTTTATGTTGAACTTCTTTCACACCATACGTAGGAAACCGTGCTAATTGTAGGTGCGGGGAAGGACAACAAACTAAACACAAAAATGCAGTTCTAAAGAAATGAGTTTTCAATCTAGATTTAAAAGTGCATAGCTCCAATGACCATCTTTGTTCAATGGTCAGCCAAAAGCTTCCGCGAAGATGACCGGAGGATGACCTGAGTTCGCGTGATGGTTTATGCTCCTTGATGAGATGAGCATGATACTGTGAACTAGTCCACAGCTCTCACTCTCACCTTCACTCGTCTATGTAAACGACCACGGCTACCACTTTCCCCAACCCATAATGATCAGCGTGGTCAAGTATAGTCAACCAATCCCCATGACTAACATGGAATGTGGAGGCTTTCATCCAGGATTGAATTGACAAAGTCCTGAAAATTACTTCCCACGAGACTGAGAAATTACTGTGCACGTTAGAAATTGAAATTATTATTATTACAGCCAATGCCTCTAAAACTACCACAACTTGCCCATCACTTCGCCCTCTTCTCCTGCATCCATCTGTTGCAAAGTTAACACTCTACCAATAGCCATCTCATAAATCAGCTATTTGATGTAAAAATTTGTGGATTGCACGCACATATACTCCCCAGTATTTAAAGGCATGAAAGGAAGGTAATGGTTTACGTAGGACGACCTCAGAGTGGGTTGGTGCTGCGCTCAGCAGTGCGGGGACATTTAATTAACGCGCTGATATAATCAAACGCATCAGGCAGGTCTAAAACGCAAATCATAGGCCAACTGGCAGGGCGGTACCTGGCACATGAAGGCAATGGGGTTGTTGACGTCCTCCAAGATGTTCCCAACCTCCTGCAACGCCGTGTAGTACGTCAAGGAGGTACTTTCTCGGACTACCCCAGCAGAGCACACGGCAACATGCACAGTACCTGGGGGCAAGTCTGCAAGCACAGGGCCGCATTAAATATGTATAAGTATAATACCTTAGAGGAACACAAAAAAAGTGTGCACATTGTCTTGAAATGAAGTTACCAAAAATGATTTGTTGGTCAACAGAAAAGTTCCCCAAAATACACAAGGAATAATTGAATAGCTGTTTATTCGAAAAAAAACATTGTCATACGGCAGAAAGTGAAACCGCTTCTTATCGATCGCTTTCTGGCAATCAACGCAAGCCAGCATGAGTGGGTTTGTTGACATCAAAGGCTCCCTCTCAGCGAGGTTTTAGACAGACCCAGGTTTCATTGTGTAACAGACAGCTGTGAATCGCAGATGGACCATCTGCCCTCCCCACGTGGCCTCGAAAAGCATCTATCCTTGCACAAGTACCACGGTGATTGAATTGTGGGTATCGTCATGTCTCATGAAGAGGGTGTGAAGTAGACTTTACCGGGTGCTGTACAGCGAACGGTGTATGGGTTTACACGCTGGGCAGGAACCTGCAGTGCAGGCTGATCCTTGTGCATGAATCTGCATGCGAGTGATGGTTGCTCTTCAAGCTCTTTGCGGAGTAGCACGTGCAGCTCCATTTGTTCCTGCACAGACACGTCCAACATGCAACACATAACATTTAAAGAAAGTAACGTAACACCGCCACAACTGTACAGGTTAATGCAGACTTGATAGCTTGCAAAAGGTTCCTATTTGATGTTTGAACATCTTAACACCTGTTGTATTGTCAGAAAGGGTAAAACCTATCCTTATTTTTCACAACTGTAGAGGTGTTTGCAGGTTGTGCCGTAATGTGGTCTCCGATGTGTTTACGGGTCGTGTCGCGTGTGTTGTTCCGCATGATGTCCCGACGTTTCGCTCCACACGCTGGGAGCATCTCCAGGAACCCAATCAGGCAGTGGAATAATCTGACAAATAATGCCAGGCCTCATCGCAGCACGTGGAGTGAAACGACGGACATCGTGCCTAACAACATGGGGTGTAAGCCCGAAAACACGTCAGAGGGCGATGCAATATATACTGTGTGAGCACAATGTACACAAATAAGCAAGGGTCTGCAGTTACTGCAGTGTGCAGATTGCATCTTTATTTTCATGAAATTCTACTGAGAGATGACACTGGCGTGTTGATACACATTCTATCTGTATTGCATTTCAGCATATTCATTCTTTTTTTCACAATGACTGCCAATCATACATTCGTTTAAACAGTGACCACCATTAATATGAGGGCTGACATAATAGCTTAGAGACGATTACAATACAGTATTATATGTATTTTGAACTTCTTGTGCACCATGCGTAGCCAACCGTGCTAATCGGAGGTGTGGGGGAAGGACAACAAACTAAACACAATAAGCAGTCGAACGAAATGAGTTTTCAATTTAGATTTAAAAGTGCATAGCTCCATTGGCTTCCTAATACCGGACGAAAATAGATAAATATTGTGAGATCATTTCACTTACTCATAAAACATACACTGGAAAATAAACATTAAAAAATTCCTTAACAATAAAGTTCCATTTTACAAGCGCTTATGTGACTATTCAATTTAAAAAGTCCTATTTGGCATATGCTGAGGTGAAATAATATTCGAAATCAGATTTTATTTTTCTAAACTGCCAATGGCATTCCAAAATCTATCTCGTGAGTGAGCTGGATTACAGCATGTGTAATTCAGTGAGTGCTGAGTTTCCATCAAGTGTAGCGCACAATAATATTTCTCACCAGCTTGAGGGCACTATTTACCGGTGAGCCCAGCAGTAAAAAATGTTAGCTAGTCAGGCAACTTTAATATGCAATTGCCAGTCTCCTAATTTAATCTGAGTTATGTTCAACTGTTTACAGAGGCAAGAGATATGCAACATTATTAACATGCCATCAAAGCCATCAAAGCTGCTTGACTATTAAAACAAATTCTAAGCTGCAAAATAATTAGACGTGAACATCTCATTACAATCACAACACGAATGCAATTCTGGAAAGAAACCCAACAAACCGTCAATGTTTCAGACAGGTTATAATGCTTTTCAGGTTAAACAGATTGATGAGTTTCATTCCTAACCAGGTGGCAGCCCATGAAAGTATATTTATGTTGACAGTATCAGCCCGGTCACTTATAATTGCAATAAAAAAGCAATCGTGTCAAAATATGTTTGACGTTTCCTTTTGGGTTCTCAAAATTCCCAGAGGGAACCAATCACTGAAACGCACAGGCAACAGCATGAAGTCTAGAGTCACTGGTATTTGCCAGCCCCAAGCAGCCGATCAAATACAACCTCTGCATGCTCATCACCAAAGTGTTTGCACCAAACCAAGTGTTTGCGCAAATCATACCCGGGCTGAAGTGCGCTGCGCGCGGTGCCAGTGGCTGCTGATGCCACTCATCGTCGTCGACTACGGTTTGGCAGTGCACGGTGACCTGCTGGCCTCACGCACCGAGACATCGAGATATGGCCCCCCACGCTTTTGGAGTGTCTGGTCCGGCGGGTGGAGCTCACTGCACGTCGTCAAACTCCCTCCGGGATTTGTGACTGTCGATCAGTTCCGCAGTGGACGCAAGACGGACATGTTCTCCGCAAAGTTTGCGGAGAACAAACATAGCGCCTTTGTGATAGCTTATTATTGTTGCTTATTATAGACTCTGCGAGAATATCGAATTGGGTAAAAATCTCAGAATGTCACATGTGGGTCATTCTCTGTGACATGAGGCTGGTTTTGCTGTGGTTTCACTCTGTGCTTAATGATGACATAATAGGCATTCACTGGTGAAACAGGGAGACAGAAGCAACACTTATTATAGAATTGTATAACATACTCTGTGTCACTGACTTAAGATTAAACCTGCTATGGCAGCAAATGCAGTATTCATTTAATGAATACTTGAAATGTCAATTTGTCAAGTCATTAAAGAATAGATCTAATTTGTTAATTTAAGACACTGACAGTTTACAACGTCTTAACTGTTTACTGTTTAAACCAGGGGCGGGGAACCTTTTTTTCTGCCAAGGGCCATTTGGATATTTATAACATCATTCGCGGGGCATACAAAATTATCAACTTAAAAATTAGCCTGTTATATTTGGTCCAACATTTAATTAACTCACCCCTAATGCGATGGCTGGAACTGCTTCTCTTTGGTGAGGCGTGTGATGTTAGCAGCAGCTACTCGCAACTGCTTTTCCAGGTTTGCTCCTAGATTTATTGAAATTCGAGTCCCGCCTGCGGTTGCCTTGGCAGGGCCACACCAGATGATTTCGCGGGCCTTATACGACCCGCGGGCCGGACGTTCACCACCCCTGATTTAAACAGAGCAGAGTAGTAATGATAATGCCTGGATGTTGGCCAGTGGTAACGATGAAGCTGGTTTTCTGTGTACCTTGAGAGCCTAAAGCCTGTAGGCTTTCACGACCAATGTTACGATGGGTTTTGGGTCATATGTCGTGAGTAAAATGTACTCTTTGGTTCTATTGGGTAAAGTCACGTAGGTGAAAATAAAATAACAAAAAATCACGACGTTTCGGCCACAACACAAGCGGCCTTCATCAGGTGAAGGGACGAGACTGTCTGGAGGACAGCGCTGGAGTGGAAGAAGCCACGCTAAGATCACGACCTTTAAGCTGTGTGAGAAGAAAAAGACCACGCGCCTTGACAAAGTGAGTAAAATGTGTTTATTCTTTGGATATTTCGGTAAAGTCATGTAGATAGGTTCAAAGAAAATAACAAAAAGACCCTTAACTGAAAGACCCAAAGAATATGAATTCCTGCAGTCACGACAGCTTTAAGTCAAGATAGAATGTGTGTTACACCCTCTTCCACGCGACACAGCCAATCAATAATGTACTCAAGGGGTTTCTCTATGTACCTTTTTTTTCAACCCACACATCAAACACTCGTTAATGAAATTAGCCAAACATTCCAATCCAGGGTTTTCCCAAAAAAAGACCCTTAAAGCTCAGTCAGGCTGTCCTGGAAAAATGAATGCGTATCACTATTGTTATTGTTATACAGTGAGGGAAAAAAGCTTTTGATCCCCTGCTGATTTTGTACGTTTGCCCACTGACAAAGAAATGATCAGTCTATAATTTTAATCGTAGGTTTATTTGAACAGTGAGAGACAGAATAACAACAAAAAAATCCAGAAAAACGCATGTCAAAAATGTTATAAATTAATTTGCATTTTAATGAGGGGAATAAGTATTTGACCCCTCTGCAAAACATGACTTAGTACTTGGTGGCAAAACCCTTGTTGGCAATCACAGAGGTCAGACGTTTCTTGTAGTTGGCCACCAGGTTTGCACACATCTCACGAGGGATTTTGTCCCACTCCTCTTTGCAGATCTTCTCCAAGTCATTAAGGTTTCGAGGCTGACGTTTGGCAACTCGAACCTTCAGCTCCCTCCACATATTTTTTTATGGGATTAAGGTCTGGAGACTGGCTAGGCCACTCCAGGACCTTAATGTGCTTCTTCTTGAGCCACTCCTTTGTTGCCTTGGCCATGCGTTTTGGGTCATTGTCATGCTGGAATACCCATCCACGACCCATCTTCAATGTCCTGGCTGAGGGAAGGAGGTTCTCACCCAAGATTTGACGGTACATGGCCCCGTCCATCGTCCCTTTGATGCGGTGAAGTTGTCCTGTCCCCTTAGCAGAAAAACACCCCCAAAGCATAATGTTTCCACCTCCATGTTTGATGGTGGGGATGGTGTTCTTGGGGTCATAGGCAGCATTCCTCCTCCTCCAAACACGGCGAGTTGAGTTGATGCCAAAGAGCTCCATTTTGGTCTCATCTGACCACAACACTTTCACCCAGTTGTCCTCTGAATCATTCCGATGTTCATTTACCAACTTCAGACGGGCATGTATATGTGCTTTCTTGAGCAGGGGGACCTTGCGGGTGCTGCAGGATTTCAGTCCTTCACGGCGTAGTGTGTTACCAATTGTTTTCTTGGTGACTATGGTCCCAGCTGCCTTGAGATCATTGACAAGATCCTCCTGTGTAGTTCTGGGCTGATTCCTCACCGTTCTCGTGATCATTGCAACTCCACGAGGTGAGATCTTGCATGGAGCCCCAGGTCGAGGGAGATTGACAGTTCTTTTGTGTTTCTTCCATTTGCGAATAATCGCACCAACTGTTGTCACCTTCTCACCAAGCTGCTTGGCAATGGTCTTGTAGCCCATTCCAGCCTTGTGTAGGTCTACAATCTTGTCCCTGACATCCCTGGAGAGCTCTTTGGTCTTGGCCATGGTGGAGAGTTTGGAATCTGATTGATTGATTGCTTTTGTGGACAGGTGTCTTTTATACAGGTAACAAGCTGAGATTAGGAGCACTCCCTTTAAGAGTGTGCTCCTAATCTCAGCTCGTTACCTGTATAAAAGACACCTGGGAGCCAGAAATCTTTCTGATTGAGAGGGGGTCAAATACTTATTTCCCTCATTAAAATGCTAATCAATTTATAACATTTTTGACATGCGTTTTTCTGGATTTTCTTGTTATTCTGTCTCTCACTGTTCAAATAAACCTACCATTAAAATTATAGACTGATCATTTCTTTGTCAGTGGGCAAACATACAAAATCAGCAG